CAAGTGTCACGATTTACACACGTTTACTGAGTACATGCGGGCTTCTGCTGGGTTTTGTAGAAACATAGAGGGTTTACCAGTGCGAGTTTCCAAGTTGCTTCGTAAATGTGCATTATGACTACTATGTCCACGTAGTTCGGAAGTTATACCACATCCCCTGTACTTGCCAAGTGTTGCGATTGCCATACGTTTACTGAGTAGATGTTAGCTTCTGCTAGGGTTCTGTAGAAACATAGAGGGTCATACCCGTACGTGTTGGGACTCATGTGACAACGCCCATTGTTGGTTGGTCATACCAAGAGGTTGGTAGGTAAATGTGAATTTTTGTAGGTATATTCACGTATTTCGGAAATTACACATATCCCCTATACTTGCAAAGTGTTACTAAGGCCATGTTGATTTGATTATATGGAAGACATCCGCGCGCGCATGAATTTTCGGCCGTTTCCAAAAAAAAAAAGGTTTTCAACCATACTGTAAATCGTACAAAACAGTTGCAAAATGAGCAAAAATATACCGTAAGTTACACAAAAATATAAAAAAATAAGTAAAAACTATACCAATGTCGTAGAATGCCAAAATCAAACGAAAAAAGACGAAATTGTAAGGAAATGAATTTGAAGATTAGATTATTCGCCAAACCATATTCTGTCCCATTTGTTCAACCCTCATGACCACGTAGATTTCATAATGAAAACAACTTTTTTTTTTGCAAAACTTTTTTTTTATTCGCACGCGCGCATCAGTTTTGGGGCTCCCGGGGGATGTCATCCATATAATCAAATCAACATGGCCTAAGTAAACGCGGGCTTCTGTTGGTGCTCCGCAGAAATCTAGTTTGATAAGGTACGTGTTTGCGCTCACGTGACTCTGACGCCATGTTGGTTGGTCAAACCTATTAGTTGGCAGGTAAATGTGAATTTTTGTAAGTATATTCACGTATTTCGGAAATTACACATATCCTCTATACTTGCCAAACGCCGAATTTTTCACATGTTTTTGTCAGTAGACGCGGGCTTCTGTTGGAGTTCTGTAGAAAGCTTTGGGGTGTTGGCACTCACGTGATTGTAACGTATTGGCAGACATGTTGGCTGATCAAACCCAGAAGTTACCAGGAAAACACATTATACACATTCCAATTCATGCTGTCTGATTCTTATAGGTTGCATCAACGAGTATAGTATATCAACAACTTCGCGTGGGGACGTTCTTAGAAAAGGAAAAGTCCCGATCGCAAGTCTACCGACTTTGCCATTTCTTGGCCGGAGTGTGTGAGAACTGAGAACTGTTCCTGTGATGTACGGCCGGGAGTAACAAGAAGCGAACATTCGCGCTGAGAAACACAAACTCCTGCCTCAAAGGAAATTCTTAAGGTGCCACCAAGAAAGAGAAGTTTCAGTCTTAAGACCCAACTCCTGCCTCCTAGGACATTCTTAAGGTGTCAACAAGAAGACGAATTGTAAGTCTTAAGACCCAACTGAACCGCAAACTCCTGCCTGCTGGGGCACTCTTAAGGTGTCACCAAGAAGGAAAAAATTACATCTTAAGACGTAGCTAACGTAACTTTCCCCCGGCAGCGCTAGTGAAAGTGACGTAACAGCTGACGCAAGCCCAACAAATGCGATGTCCTGTTTAGCGTCACTCTGGAGACAAAAACTGATGTAACATCGATACTGCTGCAAAAATGAGACATCTAACTCGTTTTAAAACAGGACTTTTAGCGATAGCTTTCCTTATACGGTTTATCACGAATCATAGTCAGGCGTGGTTCCAGAAACCAACTAGACCGATTGCCAGTACACACAGAGCGGTACAGAAACAGTCCCATCCCATTCTTAACCAGTCTGCTAAATAACAGCATGTAGAAGAAGTTTTATTACTATAGATGAAGTTTTATTACTATAGATGATGTTTTTTATTACTATAGATGATGTTTTTAACTGAATGACCTACGATCGTAACCTACGTATTGTAAATTTGCTGTTTTTAACTGTTTTAATACTTGCTTGTAATATTGAAGTCAATCGTATTTAAACACTTATGTAATGCGGCAGATCAATTCAGGGTCCTACGGGGACCCTGCTACTCTGTATCGTACGGTCAGAATGAAATAAACCACTATTATTATTCTGGCTGGATAGTCCACGCGTATCCAGAACAGTGCCTGGGGCAAATCTACGTTCGTGGATACTCGGAGACTATCCAGAACTGTGCCTGATCCTAACCCTAACCCATTCAGGCATAGAACTAGAAGGACACTGTTCTGGATACAATAACTGGCAGTCGGACGTATTTCACGGCGTGTTAGAAGCTACCCAAACACCACTCCCCCGGTTTTACATGCGGAACTGTTGGCACGACTCCCAGCTTTAGTACACGGCCTTTACCATACCGGCTTTCCGCTATATTCATGGACAAAACTTGAACAAGCTCAACCACGGGGCTTCTTTAACAACACCAAACCGTTATACTACCCAATAAACTATAGGACATCTAAACACGGGTCTTCTAACAATACCTCAATCTACAGGCTTATCAAAGAGTCGTTACTGTATAAACTCAAACATGGGACCTTTCGATATTACATGCACACTTAACCATAACAATCTTACCTACCAAACCTTTATAGTACCCAATACATTATAGAACATCTAAACACGCGTCTTAACAATACATCAATCTACGGGATCATTAAATGGACCTTATCGGAACTGTATAAACTCAAACGTGGATCCTCTAAACAGCACATGAACGCTTAAACATAACAAATCTTACCCACTAAACTATAGAACACCCAAACGTGGGTCTTCTTAACAATACATCAATCTACGAGCTCATCATGAAAGTTCATCTGTGTTGGTTGTAATCATAGTAAAACGTTAAACTTTATTCCAACACACTATTTACAGGGATCAAATTTTCAGCGACCACTGTCGCCTTCATCAGGATAATTAATGACCAATCACTTCACAACGTGATCTCGCGAGAGTTA